ACCACCTGCACCCTCTCCCACTCCAGAGTAAAACATGAACGTTGGAAACAAATCACGAATTCAAATCTCGCTTGGAGGCAACCCCACTACCCTCAAAGGTCATCTGTTGACTCTTTGTGAGGGATCAATCAATCCCCTGTGGTAGTACTCAAGACACAGAACACACCCCGTGATACGAAGAGGCGATTTTTCGAGTCAACTCAGGAACGCTGAATTGATGTGACTGACCTCATAGGATCGTATGACTAGTTGCTGCTGGCCTCTCTGCCTCCCCTTCTGCACTGTTCCCCATGCTGCAGCACTCAGGTTAGCTGACGTCAAAAGAACCCATCTGGTGCAAAGCGGGTGCGAGAGAGCGACGAGAAAGATTGAGAACGACTATTCAGGTGTGCCCGCGCCTGAACGAGGTGCCCGCGCCTGAACTGAGTAAGCCTGACTAAGTTTGCTGCTCGCTGAGAATATGTCCCGAGACCAATATTCAGGTGTGCCCGCGCCTGAACGAGGTGACTTTTGAGTCGACTCAAAAGTCACCTTGAGAACGAATATTCAGGTGCACGCGCCTAAACTGAACTGACTCGACTCTCAAATCTCACAGAAAAACCCACAAGCTGCCGTTTTTTAAGCGCATCAAAGGTCAAATTACGAGGCACAACAAAAATGAGCGTCTTGGATTTGACTCAAAAGCCACAATCGACAAGGTCCCAGATGGAGGCATTAGAGATAAAGAGTCAGGTGTTGAGGAAAGCGAGTGGGAGAGAGAGAGGAGTGTGAGAGAGAGAGGAGTGTGAGAGAGGAGTGTGAGAGAGAGGAGTGTGAGAGAGAGAGGAGTGGGAGAGAGAGAGGAGTGTGAGAGAGTGGAAGAGGGTGGGGAAGGGGAGGGAGGATTAAAAGTGAGAGAGCCAAGCCTATGCTCTTTCGAGCCTCAAGATGCTTTCCCAAGCCTCCGCATGCTTGCTTACCCTAATCTTGGTGCGCTTAGTGCAGGCACATCCTCCTCCTCCTTTTCTTTCCCCGCCTCCCCACTTCTTGCTTTAACTCCTTTCAACCCCCCCTCCCTCCACCTCTCAATCTCCTCCCCTCTACTATCCCGCCTCTCCTCCACTCTCCCCTCCCCAATCCCCTCTCCACTCCCATCACCTCTCCCCTCCCCTCTCCCCTCCCCTCCCTCCCCTCCTCCTCCCTCCACGACACAGTAGGTCTTCATATGGGGCATGGCCCGTGCACGCCCAGACGACTTTTGAGTCGACTCAGAAGTCAGCCCCTCCCCTCCTCTCTCACCTCCTCCTCCCTCCCCCCCTCCCTCCACGACACAGTAGGTCTTCATGTGGGGCATGGCTCGAGCACGCCCAGCCTCCCGTCCCCCCCACGGGCACCATAAGGGAGCGAGAAACGGCTTATCCACGTTCCTAGCAGGGCCGCAGATAGACCCTCCTGCTGCGTACCCCTGGAGTGACTCTCGCACCTCCTCCTGGGTCGGCCACACGATGCGCGGCTTGGGTGCGGATGGGTTCGCAGCGGTTTGAGTGGGCGGTGGTGTGTTTCTGCTGCTGGTTGCTTTTGTTGCATTGGCTGTGCTTCGTTTCTTTCGTGCTGTGCTGCTTTGCTGCTGCTGCTGGGCTTGGGTGGAGAGGTTATTACGAGCATTGGAGGGAAGAATACCAGGAGTTTGAGGAGAAGTAGAAGGCAGAGGAGGAGGAGGAGCGAGGGAGGGGAGAAATTGGTGGTAGAGCCAATCCGGGGTGAGAGAGCCTAGAGATGACACCTGAGTGAGGGAGGGACGGCGGGAGAGAGGAAGAAGGGAGACAGGAAGGGAGGGAGGAAGAGGAGCAGGCGATGAGAAGAACACAGCAGTAACTTACTCTTTTTCTTTCTTTCTTTCTTTCTTTCTTTCTTTCTTTCTTTCTTTCTTTCTTTCTTTCTTTCTTTCCAAAAGTGACCCAGGAATCGCATAGTACCTGCAGAACGGTAGCAGCGGAAGTGGAGGAGGTGAAAGGCGGCAGGCAGCGATGCAAAGAGAGCTTCTGTCTCAACGCTAAGTGCCCCCAGTGGTTGTGCTGCTGCTTCTGCTTCTGCTGCTGGTGGTGCTGGTGCTGCTGCTTCTGCTTCTGCTGCTGCTGGTGGTGCTGCTGATGTGATGGGAGAGTGTCGACTGCATGGTACCCTGGCACAGATGCTACCAGCGATACCTGTGCCACTCGTACGGAACAATACATGCACGGAAAGCAAGTGGGAAAACGGGAACAGGAAGGGAAAAAGGAACGAGAGATGGACTTGAGACGTCTCAAGAAGTGGAACGTCACACCTAGGAGACCCCCTCCTCAAAAGTAGATCTGCTGGAGTGGAGCACCTAGGAGCCTGGAGGTGCTTTTGAGGGTATCTGCTGGTCCAGCCTCAAAAGTAGATCTGCTGGACCACCTAAGAGCTTGGAGGTGGGGATGTTGTGATGATTAGGGGATCAAGCTTCGATTAAGAGAGAAAAGACAGAGATACAAGGTTAACTTCCCCCTTTTCCCCCTTCCTCCATCGCCTCCTCTCGCCCCACCGGGACTGTCCTCCTGCCCTTCTCTCCCTCTGCCCTCCTGCATCCCTGTCCGCAGTCCCTCTCATAGCATCGCCTAAACAAAGGAATGATAGAGGGGCAGCACTCACGGCAGCAAACGAGCGCCAATGGGGCAGCCCTGGGATGACTTTTGAATCGACTAAAAAGTCCCTTTTGAGAATCCTCAAAAGTGTTTGAACATAGTAGGTCAGACCATCAGAGGGGCAGCAGCATTCACAGCAGCGGACGAGGAGTCAAGTATCGTATCGTCGAAGGCTCTCCTCATCCAGCCAGTATTGCTTTGTAAGGCGCCTGGGAAGAGAACAAACAAAGCGGGCAGCACTCACAGCCGCAGAGGAGAAGTCGTATCGTTGAAGGTACTCTGCATTCAACCAGTACTGCCACTCCTGCACCTTCCCCTTCCCCTTCCCCTTCCTCGCCCTTCCTGCATCTCCACTCCCTCTCCCTTCTCCCCTCCCTGCTTCCTTCCCCTCTCCCATCCCCTCTCCCCTCCCCTTCCTCCTCCCCGCCTCCATCCCTTGTCCGCCCCCATTCCCTCCACCTCCTCCTTCCCTCTCGTCCAAATCCCTGCAGTCATCTCTCACTTCTCCTTCCACTCCTCCCTCTCTCCACTCTCTCCCCGCTTCCCCCACGCCCTCCTCGCCCCCACCACTCGTCATCACCACCACATTGCAACCGCTCCATCCTAGAGACCCAAAGTACCGCACCAAATCTTCTTCAAACTCCTCCCCGTGACTTCCTGAACACTCCGCTGCTGCAGCTTCTGCTTCCGCTGCTGCTGCTGCCGTTTCTGCCGCATCTGTACGTGCTCCTTTCTCTTCTCTATTTCCATCTCCCGGGCAGCAGCAGCAGCAACAGCAACAACAGCTCCTGTCTTCTGCCCCTGCAGAATCTTCCTGCATCCGTCTTCCCCCTCTCCCGTTCCCCTCCCCAACACGCCCCTCCCTTTCCCACATCCTCATCCCATCGTCCCCTCTCGTCCCCCTCCCCTCCGCTCCCCCTTCCCCACACACACTCTTTCCAACCGGAACCATCCCTTCCCATCCGTTTCCACCCCTCTCCACCCCAAATCCCTCACATCTCCTCCTCTTACCCAGAACCGCCTCCCCCCCTCCCTCTCCACTCCCCTCCACCCCTCCTCCATCTCTTTCCACTCCCCTAAACCCCCTCCTTTTAACCGGAAACGTCTGCTGCCAGAGGCCCTGGGACTTGAAGTGCCAGTCAACGGCAATGAGGTTGGCTGTGTGGATGATAACAGAGAGGGATGCGCGGCGGCCAAGGAGGAACGCCTTGGTGTGGTGCGTGCCGAAGGGGAGAGGGAGAGGGGGGCGGTGGAGGTGGAAGGACGGGGGAAGCATGGCCTGTGGGAGGGGATGGCGGGAGGGAGTTTGGAACGGGGGAAGGGGGAGAAGGGAGCAAGACAAGGGACATGGGGTATAGGGGCGTGGGGGAGATGCGACATGGTTCACCCACCCACCCACCCACCCACCCACCAGCATGACAAGTGACTTTCAAGTTCACTCGAAAACAACCCACCCACGCAATCGATTGAGCAGACCTTTCAAAGAAGAGCACACCCGCCCATCCACCTGCATGGCAGCAGAAGTTGGCTTTCGCTCATTACGTCTCCCGCTGAATACGTCTCCCAATCCAGCCCAACCCACCATTCAGAAGCTTTCTCCATGCGTGGCGTGGCAGCAACTTCTTGTACTTTTGAGAATTCTCAAAAGTAGCATCTGCGTGCCTGCAACTTCTTGTGTGAGCACTTGTTGTTGCTTCATAAGGACTCAGTAGCCACCCAGAAGCCACCCAGAAGGCACCCAGAAGCCACTCAGAAGCCACCCAGAAGGCACCCAGAAGCCACTCAGAAGCCACCCAGGATCCATCCACCCACCCACCCACGCTACTGTTTAATGCAAACCAAGGGAAACACACAGCGTCTTATTCACCTGCATGGCAGCAGCGGCAGTGTCGCTCCTCTCTCCATGCATGAGCACCACCCGCGGCACGGTCAGCAGCACAGGGCACTCTGTCCCCGAGGATGGCCGTATGGGTATGGGAGAGCAGAGGGGGGAAGAGGGAATAGCATTTTGAGGTACCTCAAAAGCAGCGGCAGCGTCGCTCCTCTCTCCATGCATGAGCACCACTCGCGGCACGGTCAGCAGCACAGGGCACTCTTCCCCGAGGCATGGCCACAGGGGGAGAGCAGAGGGGCGAGCGGAAGGGCGAACAGAGGAGGGAGCAGAAAAAAGGGGAGCATTTTAGGCGCCTCATGTGCAGTCGCAGCGTCACTCCTCTCTCCTTGCATGGGCACCACCCGCAGCACACAGACACCAGCACTGGGCACTCTGCATTGAGGCATGGCTGCAGGGAGGGTTAAGTTGTGAGGTGGGTGGCTGTGTGCGGCGGGTTTAGCATGGCGAGCTGAGCTGAACTGGCGCAACAGTGTGGTGGAATAACACAGCAAGTCAATCTTGGCAAATTCTCACGTTTGAGAATTTTCGCTTTGGGGAATTTCACACTTTTAGGAATCGGCGCGGCAGTGTGGAATAACACCGCAAGACAAAAACTTCATAGAGCAGAGCAGCGCATCACACAAGTGTCAGTCAGTCAGTTATGAATGGTGCATGCAGAAGTGGCACGTTACGGGAGTAGAAGAGAGCTTAAGAGTGCCAGCAGCATTGGTGTAGAATATAATAAAATGGAATAGAATAGAACGGTAAGACACAGTGACAACGACTCACTCCTGTTGCAATGAAACAAAAACCCCACCGTACCCTGTATAAGCCACTCCAGGTCCACCATATAGTTGCAAATGATTGCCCACTCTAGAGGCTCTCCATTGACAGGCTTTAAGAGGAGAGAGTGGGAGAAAAAAAGGGGGGAAGGGGAGGAGCAGAGATCGGGAAGAGGAGAATGTGGGGAGGAGAATGGGGAGAGGTGAATAAGGGGGGAAAAGAATGGGGGGAGGGGAACGGGGCAAGGAGAATGGGGGAGGGAGAGTGGGGGGAAGAAAACGAGGGGAGGGGAATAAGGAGAGCTGAACAAGGAGAGCATGAGGTCCAAGCCAAAAGGCGAGAATGAGGCACGTGCGGTGACGAAAAGAGACGAGCGGAAGAGAGGGCTGCAGCGAGGTGGGTGGGTGGGTGGGGGAGGCACAAGGGTGAGGTGAGTGAGCAGGGGGGCATGCCTGGTAGAGATCAGAGAGGGATAAAGAATCCATTTTTGAGGCGCCTCAAAAGTGGACACTTCACGTCCCTCTGCCTTTTGAGGCGCCTCAAAAGTGGGATACAGAATCCATGTTGGCATGGCGGGGCAGACCAGGGTGTCTTTTGAGACGTCTCAGCACCAGTGTATTCTCACCTGGAAGAGATCGGAGAGTGATACAGAATCCATGTTGGCATGGCGGGGCAGACCAGGCGTGTGGAGGAGGCGGAAAGAGGCAGGGGAGGCCGCGGTTGAGAGCTGGCTGGCAGGAGTGGGGTGGGGGTCACGTGGCGAGAGCAGGGGGGAGGTGGAGAGTGGGAGAGAGGGAGAGTGGAATGAGGAACCTCAAAAGATACACACCTCTGCTCTTTCCTGGATCCCACAGTAGTATATCTCTACTGGTCTGGTTCTTTCCATGTGGTTTCCCACCTTGTTCCATGCCATGTACCCACCCACCCACCCACCCTCAGTGACCCAGGGATGCCGATTTTCGAGTCGACTCAAAAATCGACTTACTACACACCCTCCGTGACCCCGGGATGCTGCCCATTTTGGGGTCGACTCAAAAACAGTGATCCAGGGATGCTGAGTTGGTTGGAACTTGGAACACGCCATTGCATCATTGGAAGTTGATGAAGACAAGGACTGTTTGATTCTTGCGGGTTGTCGCACCATCATCACATGATTTGAACTCACTCGTTTCTCTCCTGCCTGCATCCACATGCTGCCACGTCATCATTACCACCAGTGGTAAGCCCGCTAGCAGTAGCAGTAGTGGCGGCAGCACTGGCAGCAATATCAGTGGCAGCAGCAGCAGCAGCAGCAGCAGCAGCAGGAGCAGCAGCAGCGGCAGAAGGAACAGCAAAGGTGAAGCGGTAGGCAAGGCCATAGGGGACTAGCTCCAATATCTCGCCCTCCCTCAACACACCCTCTGACTGCCCGTCCCCACCACTGCCACCGCCACCAGTACCATCAGCACTATCAGCACCACCATTACCGGCACAATCCACAGCAGCAGCGGCAGCAGCAACGGCAGCAGTGGCATGTTCACCACAGTCAGCAGCACGGGAGTCTCCCCTGCTGACATTGAGCCGTTGCCATAGCACCACCCTTGCAGGAAAGATCTCTGCTTTCTGCTGCCCCGCAGGAGCACTGGCAGCAACGGCAGCGGCACCAGTGGCAGCAGTGGTAGGAGCGAGTGTGGGAGGAGTAAGGGCGGAGGCAGAAGCATGGGCAGTGGCAGGACCGAGGGTGGTGGCAGGACGAATGACGACTGGGTTCTTGCCTTCCTGGACGAGCAGGGTAGCACAGGAAGGGAGATTAGCCGGGAGAACTTTTAGGGAGCTGCTGGAGTAAGGGAAGTGGCATGGCAGGACAGAAGACAACTGGGTTCTCACATTCCTGGACGAGCAGCGAGGGATGGGAAGGGAGGTTGGCCAGGAGAGAATGGGTAGCCTATATAAAGGTTTGACCGGGGGGGAAGTAACGAGAAGGGGAAGGGAAGGGTGCCAGTGGGAATGGACAGTGCTGGCTGGCTGGGGAGTGGAAAGGTATAGAATCAATTAGGGGGATGGGAGCTTTTTTGGGGGGGATAGATGAAGAATGGGAGAGAATGTGAGCGGATGACGAAAGAATATGAGAGAATGAGGGATGGATGGTGGAGCATGGGGGAGGAATGCGGAGGATTGGCAAGAATTGGAGGGGATTGGTTAAGAATGGGGGTGGATGCGTGAAGAATTGAAGGATTGGAGTGGAAATAGGGGGGCGGATGGGGAGCGGACATGAGATCTGAATGGGGGTTGGCAGAAGGAAGGGAAGATCTGAAGGGGGGTTGGTAGGGAAGAGGGAAGTGGGGTATATGCAGCTGCGGAGAAAGAAACAATTGAATGCCTGCCAAGTGAGCGAGAAGTAAGAAAGTGAGTAAGAGGGTGAGTAAGTGAGAGAATTGTGAGTGAGTGAGAGGGAGTGTGAGAGAGTGAGAGGGAGTGTGAGTGAGTGAGTCGGAGTGGGTACATGGATATCTGCTCTGGTTCTCACCGGACGGACGGTACAGCATTGTTTGTCTGCATCCACATGTACGGACACGTGTGTGCGGCTCACTCTACCCAGCAGCGGCCAGCACAGCCCCTCCCCGTCACCGCGTGGACCACCACCTCCAGCATGATAAGCAGCGACAGCAGCAGCAGCAGCACCACCACCACCAGCAGCAGCAGCACCAGCAGCAGCAGCAGCAGCAGCAGCCAGACAAGCTGAATCCTCACGCGTCACCAGATCGCGCCGTCCGATTACGTTCGGACCGCGGAGCAGCGGAATTCGCGGGCGGAGCGGGCAATCTACGTAGCGTTGCCCGGATGAGGCGGAGGCGGAAGAAGGAGAAAGAGAGCGCACGGGGAGGAGAAACGCGACCGGGGTTGCGGAGCTGGGTTCCCACGAGCGGTGAGGAGGAGGAACGGGAACCATGATGGCTGTGCGAGTCGCTTCAGTTCCGCTGAGGCAGAAGCGTGCCGTTACCCGTGGAAAGTCGAATTTGGAATGTCCCGACGTGACTATAATGCCGCTCGTTTGCACAGTGGATGCAGAATATTAAATCGGCCAAGAAACTTTACTGATGCGGGTCGGGCCCTGCCGAGCCGATGTGGCCTTGGCGTGAGTATGAAAAGGCAATTAATCGTTAGCGTGGTGCCGCTGACAAGGCAACGAATGTGTTACACTTTGTGTGAACTCGGCAGCCCTGATTGGTGGACGAGATGCCGTTGTCGGGTAGTGCACTTTGTAACATTCGTCGCATCCACGAAAATTTTGTGTGCTGCCGATTCCAAGCTTCGGCCAGATCATTTTAGGAAAAAAACACCAGACAAGTGCTGGGGCGACAATTGCTGTTTGATATGCCGTTCTGCTGGAGTTCTCGTCGCCACACCGCTGGTGGTTTGGTAAATTTCGCAATGACTTCAGGTGCCTTTTTGGTTGAATTGGCAATACATGGGTATCATTCTGTTTGCGCATGAGCAGTTCAGGCCTTCTGCACAAGCACTGCGGGATGGGTTTTCCTCGAAGGGGTCAACCCTCCCGCGGCCTCGGAGAAATTCTCTGATAACGACAAAGCGGTTTTGACAACAGCCCATGTATTTTCCGTTCACCATGCCCAGTCTGCCCAGGATGCTCAAAATGTATCGTCTCAACCAGTCACAAATCTTCAACCTTTGGGTTCACCCTTGCTTCTCGCGTGGTATATTCTTTCTGGTGAAATATTTCATCGCAAAGTTTCCCAAAATCGGGCGTTCAGACCTGCCCTTTATTGCTTGTGCGTCCCCTATTCTACCTCGGTTGGGCGGATAGGGTTCGCACGAGCGGTGCCTCCAGTTTGCCCGTAATAGAAATTTCCCAGTAAAAGTGCTGTTGTGCAGGTTTTCTCGGTTTTCTTGATGCGCTCAGCTTCGGACAATGCCCAACCTGAACCGATGCACCACTGGTGCGGACGGAAGAATCCGCGAAGGCCATTGTTGGCCAAAAGAATAGCGCCGTTACGAAGGGAAATTGGGACAGGGAGGGAACCCCAGAACATAAAATTACAAACAGCACATGCCACGCGCCCAAACACACACCTAGAAAGTAACCTTCTACTAGCATAGTACAAGAATCTGACCTAGTTACACCCAGAAACAAATAAAATCATGGTATACCAAACAAACCATCACTACTGCAAATGATCTACATTCTCTAAGCTCTACCCCACCACTTATAAGGCGTACGAAATTCGCCTCCGTAACTCACCCATTGCCTCCCCTCCAGACTTGCCACCCTCATCACAGTCAGCGCTCCAAGCCACATGGCGGCTCCTGGATGCTTCCCCACAGCCCCCGTCGTTGGAACCACCAACACCACCATCAACCTCCCATGGCAACACGATCCGCGTGGCCGAACCGAATTCAGCTGGCGAAAACGCCAAATGCTTCTTCGACAATTTCGCCAGCCTGCTGCTCTCCCCCTCGCTATCAGGAGCTTTCAACGAAGAGTTCGCACTCTTCGAACCTTTCCACCCACTCAGCCACGGCGAGCTCTGCTCAGTGTAAGCCTTAAACCTAGCCCCAGGGGCCATAGGCAGAGCAGCCATGCGTCTCAGCCGGGTCTGTCCTCCTTTCCATGAGTCCCCGGGCGAGCAACCCCCATCGGACTCATGCTCTTCTGTGCTGTCCAGTTCCATCGTCATCTTTCCGTTACCCCTCTCCTCCATCCACGAGCTCTTCAACGTGCCATTCTTTGAACTGGCTCCGAGACGCGCCTGCAAAGGCCCAGAGAAGGAGCACTTGTCGTCATCGCTGCCTTTCCCCGATTGTTTATTACCTCTGGACACCTCTCCAGCAGCAGAAGCAAGCAAGTCGATAGCAGGAGGAACAGCGCCAAAACCAGCGTCCCACATCCCCTTGTTGCCAGATGCCGTCCTGGGACTAACTGGAGGCCGTCCCGCCTTCCCTCCCCCTCCATTAGTCCCCTCACTCCCTCCCTTGCGCAGCGCGCGAAGAGCGGCAGCAGCAATTTCCGTCGCTGCCTCTTTACCCGTGGTAGAAGCTCTTCCTATGAGCAACCCTAGCCTGCTTCCTTCCTGCTGGTCCGACGCTGCTGCATCATTCCTCGGGTGCAGCCACTTCACCGTGGGTGCTTTAGCAGTGATGACAGCTGCTCGTGCTAGCGGTGCTCGCGCTCCTCCTGCTCCTGCTCCCGCTCTTTCTCCTGCTGTTTTCAAATCCTCGTTACTACCGACCCGTTTACGGAGACGAGGCGTCCGTTTCCGTTCCCAGGATTCAACCACTGTCACGTCGTCCGGACAGCTCTTTACTGAGGTCGTCCTTGCAAAGCGGGTCCTAGGGTTCACAGCACCGCCATTCTCATCCTCATCCTCGTTATAATCCTCATCAATAAAATCGCCGTCTTCGTTGCTGGTGTGGGCACTATACGCGCTTCCAGACTCCGAGCCGCCGCTGTCGTCAAGCCCACGTCCCTTGGCCTGATTATTACGTCGCCTCGCTCCCTCCCCGCTCTCGACGTCACTCGTCTCAGGACTGCAAGTGGACTGAATCGATATGGACTGGAAAAACGGTCCGATCGTAGACCGCGGAGACGGCTCACTAACGCCGGATTTCCCAGACCCACGTCCCTCCAACCCTCTCGTTCCCGCGAGCGCAGCACCACCATCACCTCCCCGCCCGCTCCCGCAGCTTCGCACACCGGGAGTCTCCGCATCGAAGTTGAACTCGTCCTCCTCCTCCTCCTCGTCATCCGTATCGATGTCATCCAAAATCAGCAGCCGCACGGGGGCCCGCACGTCTCCTCCGCCGCGCTCCAACAGCTGCTGCCGCTGCCGCTCCGCCTGCTGGATCCGCAGCAGCCGCAGCTGCTGCTGCTTCTGCAGCCTCTCCTGCTTCTGTATCGCCCGCTGCAACTGCTGCTGTTCCTCCTCCACGGCTTCGCACAGCCCTTCGATCTCCGGCGGAGGGGGGTCGAACGCGGGAGTGAAAATAGCCGACGCTGGAGACATGGCTGGCAGTGCCATTAAGTACATTAAGTCGCTGCTGAAAGAACCAGCGGACCGCGGCCGCCAGCCGCTTCCGCCGGCGCCGCCGCCGTCGGCGGCACAAGGAGACCCAAGGGCGCGCTGAGAGTTGCTGATTCTGGCGGTGAGTTTCGCTCGAGCCGCCTGGAGTTTACTTGTTGCCGATAGAGCGGCTGATGCCGCTGCTGATGCCGCAGACGCCGCTGCTGCTGATGCCACAGATGCCGCCGCTGCTGCTGCCGCTGCTGGTGCTGCTGCCGCTGCTGCGGCCGCCACTGCTGGCGCAGAGTCCAGAAAGTTGTTGAGGCGATTGCTGCGCGTGTTGGCGGATCCACCCAGGCGCGCAAGCTGCTGCTGCTGCTGCTGCGGCTCCGGCTGCGGCTGGCTCTCCGGGCTCGCGACGAGTGTGGCTCCCTTCCGCCCGGCGCCGCGGGGTAAACTCCCCGTGATCCTGCGACTGATGTTACTAGCGAAATTGCTAGCGCCGCTTCTGGAGAAACTCGGGATTGAGGCAGGTGACGGCGAAGCGCTCAGTTGATTCTCGTCCTCTGAATTCTCGTCTGGAGGTTGAGTCTCCGCGTTGTTCGCGGCGCTCGCGGAGTTTGCGGCGGTCGCGGAGTTTGCGGCGCTCGCGGAGTTTGCTGGGGGTTGCGGTTGCGGCGATGGCAGGCTCACGCGGCTCGGGCGTCGCACCATCGTGGCGGTGCGGTCGAGATTGGCCGGGCGACGGAGCGTGGAGTATAGAAGCTTCCACGCAACGTGCGCGTGCAGGATCACCGCCTGCGCCTCTCGCTGCGAGAACGGGGAGAATCGGACGGTCGAGATGGACTGTGACGCGCCGCGGAAGAGGCCTGGTGTACGGCCGGGGTGGGAGCCAGGAAAGAAAAACGATAGGATTAGGATTATATGGCCAGCATCATGCGTCGAATTAGTGACGCGTAACGAGATGGCTAATAACGGGCCGAATGAGGAGCGATAAACAAATTGACGCGAACAGACTAATTTCTGGGGGAGACATATCAGACACAGTACCACTACTGACTCCTATCGCCAGTTGCGCGACACTACCGCAAGGGGGGAACCGACGGACCACCGGAAACGGGAAAAGGTAGTAAAGTGAGGACCGTCCACGTACCGTTCTCGTATCGGCCGGGCACGGTCGTAAATCCGGACTGCTGTACCCATTGAATGACCTCCGCGATGCGCCTCGCCAGCCCTCCCGTGGCGACTGAGCCGCCGGCGGGAGCCGTTCCCGGCCTGCCAGCGTAGGATCCTTTGCGGAAAATGGTTCTAGCCGACGCGCCGTTGCATCTCGTGCCGACGATCAACGGATCGTCCGCTGCGATCACTAGAAGCTTGTGCGACACATCTGCGTCGCCGAAAGGGGCCTCGTCATCGCCGTCACGGCCCCCGTCGCTGGACCTCCCCGCGGCGTTCGTCGCCGAGCGGTAGGGTCGCACGGGGAAGGCAAGGAGCGGGAATACCGCGTACGCGTCGCCCGGCTCGCGCACCTGCGACCCGATTTCGATCGCGTCGACGGGAGCGTAGTCGAAGAACGGCGTGCTCACGCTATCGTCATCGCGGTCGCCGGGAGGCGCGGTCGCGGTCGCATCGACACGTGGCGCCGCGGTTGTACTTTCCGCTCTAGCGTTCGCACTGATAGCGCGGTCTGCGCCGGCGGCAGCGGAAGCCGTGCCATCGGACGCGGCTCGGCTGTTCGCGGCGTTACAAGAAGCGAGAAGACACGTTTGCGGCAAAACCCCGGAATTCCAGGAAACCAACGGCGCGTATTGCGTGGGTGTCAAGGGACACGACGAGCCTCCGCAGCCTGAGCCGCCGGTGCTGTTCGAGATTGGAAATGCGGCGCTTCGTGCCTTGGGAGTTGTGGGAGCTTTCGGCGATTTCAAAGTTCGAGGGGAAGTCTTCGAGTTAGTCGGGGCAGCCGGGAACCCAGAAATCGTTTTTGCCGACGACGAAGCCGTCGCCGGGTATGACGGAGGGATTTCAAGCGGCACGACGCGGCCGTCGAGGAGAAGCTTCCGGCGGCGCGTGACGAGGGAGAAGAGGCACTGCTGACTGGCGTTGCCGTTGGCGTCGCGATTGGCGTCGCTGCCGGCGGTGCATACGAACGTGCAGGTGCCGGCACCGCTGGCACCGCTGGCACCGCCGGCACCGGCAACACCGCCGCCGTCGTCGCCGCGGCTTTGGGCGCCAGCGATTTCCGGAAAGAGGAGCACGTCGTGCCAGATGGAGGTAATCGCGCGGGAGGTAAAGAGCGGTAAGATGTTTCCGCTCACGTGGCCCTCCATAGCGCTAATATTGCTCGCAGTAACAGCAGTGGTAGCGATAGTTACCACAGCAGCAAACAATCACATGTGGGACTGTCGAAGTAATGCCACAGTCATGCGCTTACTAGTAGTAGTCCCAAAACGGGTTATGAAATGAAGAGGATGACAAAGCGTGCGGCTATCGAAGAAATGCGCAAGGAGAGATGGCACTGCTGAAGCCAGCTGGAGCTGAAGAATTGTAAAGAGGTGGTGGTATGGGATGAAGAATTGCTTGTTGAAATATTTGAGCTGGGTTTGCGGGCAACGGATGAGAGGAATGACTGGATTCATGTGGGAACAGAAGCAGCACCCAGTGACAGCATTGTGCTCACGTAGTGTGCCTTGATACAGTGGCGTAACATCTGGACGCGAAGTTATTCTCGCTCACGGGTACAACTTCCGGTCTGCTCGTGTTTTGTATTTACATGTCCATGTATTGATTGTGTACAGAGCAGGAAAACTCGAGGCAAGTCTGCCGTTGGGCTGGGCTTCGCATTCGCTGACAAGATGCTACAAGGTTTGATGAGAAATTATATGGGAAGTCCCAACTAATCCCAGTTTATCATGTTTGGTCAAGGGGGCATCACAAACAGTCATAGTACAGTAGATTTCTATCGCGGGTGATCACAGTTCTATCACGGATGGTCACACCTCGCAGCGTAAAGCTATCACGTTTGGTCACTCGCTGAAACGGTCGATAGAAAGTTGAAACTACTCAAGTCACTGTAGGGATTCAAGGAAAGCTTTCTCGCGAGAGCAGTTTTGTCCGTAGTATCACGAAAAAGTTTTGCGACAACTCTCGGTAACTCGTTAAAAACATCTGCACACCCTGACTTACTATTTGATTGTCAACTGTTCGAATGATGCCCATTGACCCTAAAAATATCACTTTTAGACGGGTAGAACTCGAGGGGTACTTCTCCTACCCAGACAGATAAATAACGAAAACACATTCGGATGGGATTTTATTCGAGATGCATCAACCCTAAACACCTTGTCGCATGATGTTTAGGGTTGATACCTCCCGAAGACGTGCCATCATATAGGGATTTAACATTTCTTCATTTCCCTAAATGTCAGGCTAGAATCATGCGCGAGGTAACAAGGAATCAAGATTGGGATTCCCCAAAATCTCTACAGTCTGTGGTTTCGAATTATTATCGTTTCATCGAGTGATCAAACGTGATAGCTCTTAGGGCGTGTTACATTTGTTTAACTACAGCCCGTCCGGAAAGGCAGTCGTCCGGGCTTTTGTGTGGTTACCTTTCTCGTTGGAATTCGTTAATTTCCTCGTTAGACCACTTGCGACGTCGTTAACGATCGGACCGGTGATGGAACAGTTTGCGCGAACTGCCTTCCCAAATCGACCGGACGACTACAGTTCGATTAGTGGACGGACGTAGCAGTAACGCAAATTCATTGGTCAACGATTCAACTCTTCTGGTCGCTTCGGTGTTGCCTTTATCGTGATCTGTTCGTGATCGCGGTTACAACCTCGCAAACATTCGAATTTTCGTCAGGTTGAAAATGTTTCATCTACAACGTCGGACGAGATTTAGTCCGGACGTTGGACTCGTACTGCCCGAAATTCGGAATCTGAACCTTCTCGGACGGTGTCCGGACTTTAGCCAGTTTTAAAAACTGCTACACGCCCTTAGAAGAGAGGTATAATTATCTGTAAGCACTGTGATCACTCGCGATAGGGATGTACTGTACTGTGACTGTTTGTGATAGCCCCGTGAACAAACGCAATAAAACGGCCCTAATTGTGACTTCCTTTATATTCTCCCAAGTCTGAGCCACGGACTCCGCAAAGACGCGTATACCCACGGGGGAAACTGACAGTCCATTAAGAACAAAATACTATCTAGGAGAACGAATCTGTTCATATTGTGTGGGCGGCTCGACACGTCTTTATTCTAAATATGGTCCTAAATGTTATAAATTCGGCTCTCCTTTTGCGACCACGAAGGGAAAGTGCCATATGTGGACTGATTGAGGGGGGCGGCCAAAAAGGGGGAGGGGATTGGTGGAAGGGAGGAGAGGAGAGTACAGTACGGTAGTGTGCGGAGACACTGGGAAGGGACGAGGGAAACCTCGCGAACATCTTCACTGTGTAGTAAGTATTTTGAATGCCGACGCACTCCCAAGATGGGCCCGAGTAGAAAGGGTGAACAATCTGCCTCTAGATCCTACCCCCACAAACTCATAAAGCACGAAAAGTGTACTGTACCGCAACCACTACAGTTCTTTCTAGAATTTCCGTTCTGCAATTCTCTCGTGTTTCCGTTCTGCAAAACTTCAGCTCTGAACAAGTTGCGGCACCTCAATTTCCGCACGAGCGTGGTGTTGTAACGTCTGATTGCTGCAACCCATCCTGTACGACATCATCTGTTGGCCGTGAGAAAGGGGCACTGTCATGGAATGGGAACGTCTGGGGAAGGGTAACAACAACACACTGGATAATTAAATATCCATCACCGTTGAAGGTTACAATTCCGTGCATGGCATGTGATATTTGAAGAGTGGTTTTTGCCAAATTGTTCGTGATGCTGCATTCAACAAGTCTACACGTGCAGAAAAACTTTCAGTCACTCAGTGTTTGTGTGTGCTGTGTACAGTAGATATTGCTTACGTGGAAAAGGGACCAATCCGTTGTAGAGAACTGATAATCTGCAGTTACGATCGCAACAAAAGCGTTCTGGTCGGGAAGGGGGCAGCCATTCTCCTTCATCAAGAACAAGGTCTGGCTGGGTGGCACGAAATGATGGAATCAACGTTCACTGTTCACCTCCGAGAGGAAAGGAAAGCCAAGTCACAAAGGATGCGTAGATTTCACCCCATCTCTACAATTGATGCCTGTTTGATGCCCTCCAGAATTTCTTGTAAAGTAGGCGTATAAGCTGTAACAAGAATCTCGCATAAGTTTCGTCATTTCGCAAATAGCTAAAAAGGATTCGCAGGTGCATATAAACAATATCTGTTACCTTATTTGACTTCAGTCTCTTCTGCTTGGCCTCGGTCTGTTCGTTACTATTGGTTGATAACCACGCGACGCGCTAATAACCTGGGAGCATCAGGCTGGGGAAACAACCTCGGATGCAGCGTTTCCATCCGGCGCATGGCAGATCCGCGTGCACTGGTTGGGCGTTAAGTGTATAAGAAAACACTTCGCTGCACCCCTTTGTCCGTCAGAACGGAGCTTACCACAAAGTCAGAGAAACGACGAAGCACACCAATATATTTTCCCAAAGTTTTTTTAGGCAGATTACGAGTATCAGGTGAGCACGCCTAGTTGGCGCCTCCTCCTCCCCTTACCATCCCACCCTCTCTCCCCCCCCCCCCCCCCTCCCTTCCCGCTCTTCCCCTCCCTCCTCCCAAGGTCGTCCCCCCCACTTCCCCTCGCCCCCGATGCAATGACGTGTATGATGACCTGAACACGAAAGCCGAACGTCGAATCGGCAAATCTATGCTACTTTTTCGCAAGGCGATGCGATGCGATCAGGTGCTATGATGGGATCCAGTAATCCGATAACTGCGTGCAAGGATAGTCTGACTCAGCACCATGCAAGTAAACCAGATGTGTTGGCTGATGTCAGCCAGTTTCTCTCGCAAACGCCGCGCTTATATCAAATCGGCCACTGTACGTCACAACGGCCTACTGAACCGTATGTGACGGAAAATGCGAGCTCCACAAAAGCTTCCCTGTCCTTACAGAATTTGTGGCAAATATCTTCTCTAGCTGTTATGAATGAACTTGCAGAGGGCGCAGTAAAACGAATAACGATAATGAAACACATAGAACTGAAGATACAATGAGAGTGGCACGACTAAATAGGGGGAAAGCTAGCTAGGCGG